AACCAAAAGCAACAGCGTACAGCTTTGTGCTCACCCAAACCCTCCATTCAATCAACCGTACAATCAATCCTAAACCCTAATCCCAAACGAAGAAGGCCCTGAACAAGCCCAAGGCTTGCCAGGGAGCAGAAATGCTCCCAGAGCGAGGAGTGCCGCCACGGCCACTAGAAGCCTCAGGTTTCTTGGGCGTTTACGTCGTGGACCTTTACAGCCGGATTCAGGCCAAACAGTGCTGGGATTCCATCTACATTACTCTTAAGGATTGAGGCTATGGGGTTTCCAACTTTTCGCCTTCAACTGCAGGCTAAGGGGTTGAATGGCTCAGGAACATCTTGCTGTAAAGGCTTTGGGGTTTATGTCTCGATTTCCGGTGCATACCCGAGATTCCATGTCGTAGCCTTTAAAACGTAACAGCCTGGCACTTCGGAATGCAAGTCTGGGCACGACTTGAAGCACTTTGAAGTTCCCGTGATCTTGCTTTTGTATTGGCAGGCCCCGCTTCTTGCTCTTTATAGTGCACCTATGATCTATGAAACCCAAAGGCTCCATACATAGTACCATTATGGAATTAGGCCCCAAAAGACCATCCTTATCAGGGTTTTAAGGACCTAATTCCATAATGGTACTAGATGTGGGGCCTCTAGGAAAAGTTGAAGACCAGGAGCCCCCGACCGCAGCTACAGCAGGAGGAGGCGTCCTGTTTCGACTCCCCAACAACCTCGGATCGTTCGCGCAAGCATCTTGGGGTTTGAAATTTCAGGTTCAAGCTTGTGCAGTTGAGAGTTCCTCTAGAGTTCCTGTAAAGGATACTGTAGGCTTCTATATTGGGGCCCTGTTTAAGGGGTGCTATAGTAGTGACTTGAGAACTTGCGCAGGTACCGGGCTGAGCTCTGAGGGAAAGATGTTTAGGGCTCCGGGAGCAAGTCGGGCTTCAAAGTTCAGGGGCTGGCCAGCTGAGGTGCTAGAAGATACACAACACTGCGCATATAGCTGTGGAGCCAATACACTATCTATCTTTCTATCTGTCTATCTATTTTATATATATATATATATATATATATATGTGTGTGTGCATGCATGCATGCATGCGTGTATGCATGTGTATTTCTTTGTTTGCTTTCGTGTGTCGATCTAAATCTATTGTTCGTCGCTTCATGCATTTACATGTTCGTTGATGACATATTCGCCTGTACGTACGCAACTACATACAGTTGTGTATGGAATACAGGGTGTGTGTGTGTGTATGTGTATATATATATATATATATATATGTACATATTGTCTTTGCCTTATACGACAACTTCCGCCTGATAAATGCACAATCAAACAATAACAACGGCGCACTAATGCTGCCCAAGACGTGTATTGAAGCACCTCAGAAAAAGAAAAAACACACACAAGCCTAAAACACAATATTGGGCGAGCGAAGGCCTCAAACCACTCTGCTTCCATCGCAAGGCTTCAAGCTTGATGCAACCCCGAAATAAACCCTGCCACGTAACCGCGACCTTCCACCTGAAGTCCGATTTAACACAACCGCAAAGCCCCGAAGTTTCTTTTGTGCACCTATTCTGATAAACCCACAAAATACTAGAAAGCACCCTAAACCCTAAATGTTTTTAGCTTGAACCCCAAGCTCCAAAGCCCAACAAATGCAGAACCTAAACTGTCACACGGATAACCATGCCTGCGAACCCAAACTTCCGAACGGTGCCAAACCCCACGCTTCTGCAGCAACACCAGAGAAATCTCCCTGAGCACAGACCCCCAAAGGTCTGTAAAGCCCCAAACCCCGAAACCTCCAGTCTGTCAACGCTAAAAACCCCATGAAAACTGTAACGGCCCTTTCCACCATGGAAGGCTATCAACACAATCGGCGAATAAAGCACCAATCCCCGCAAAACCTCCAACGCTGAATGAAAAAAACTTTCGGCTCTCCATAGCTTCTATAAACCCAATAAACCAAGCAGTTCAAAACCTTGAAGCTCAACCTTCAAAATCCTCGAATACTACGAATAAACCCTATTACAAGACAACCCCAACCAAAGCCAAACAACCCAACACCCCCCCTCCGTCTTCCTTCCAGAAACAACAGCCATGCCAAGTGCACCTAACCCTGCCCTATAAGTACTATAAAAATACCCGAAAAAACCTGTTTGTAGTTATCTAATATAAACCCGATAAGCCCCTGCAGAAACCCCAGTAGAACCTTTAACATCCGTTCAAAGCCCTATAAGCCTATAGTATAGGGGCCTTAATAATTAGAATCTGGTTTTGGGACCCATTATAATTACTATAGTTGTAATAAGGAGCCGCTAACATAGTAGTATGGGTAAGTATTTAAGCCCCCCATAGTAAACTCCTTTGCTTGTTTTTGCTTCGGCGGAGCGGCGGTGCTCCCTCGAAGCCCAGCAGACGGCTCCAGCGACTCCTACACCAAAGACCGATGGCTCTGAAGGTTTAGGGGTTGAGGGGTTTAGAGGATTAGGGATCTAGGGCTCCAGGGCTTAGGGTTTAGATAAGAACTACAGCTTGGGTTGGCTATTGGTGTGGGGTGTAAAACTTCAATGTTACGGCATCCCGGAATCCTACGCAGAAGCCCTCAACCCTCAAGCAGATAATGAATGAATGCATCTCGGCACCTCATCTGCTGACTGTCCGACTGTTCTCGGACGATCCATCTGTGGCCACTGCCGAGCGCGCTGGGCTAGAACTAGTTTGGGGTCATAAGACGACCACGAAACCCTGCGGCTCATGAAGAGTCCTAACCGAGCGAAAGAATTACAGAGATGCAGGGCACTTAAATCCTCATGGGACTTAGTAACTAGGGTTATAATTAAGGTAACCCTACTTATATTTACTTACATCCCCAATCAAGGTACTTATGACCCTACTTACTAAGTCCCATGATCCTCCAAGCATGGGTCAGATCCAGGGTTGATGGCCGGGCTTGAGGCAATTTGGTTTCGGGTGCAGCTGGCTTTGAGTCTGCACCGACAGGTCCCTGGCTGTCGTAACCTACCACTGATGCACTGGATGTCTTTACACACCGTGCGTTCCGCCGTGCATATCAGTCAGAGCCAAAATTCATGCGCAAGGCAAGCTAGGACAAGACCGCAAGGAAACCCTGAACCGGAACCCTCAAGCCAAAACAGCAAACTACCGTAAACTCCTGATCCTAACTAAACCTCATAGACTCTGAAATCTATAGTTCGGGCCTTTGTCCAGATCTTTCCGATGTCGGGCCCACAAAAGGCAAGCCTTCGTCCGAAGCGCTTGCTCACTAGCCACAACTATAGTATTCTCCCGGAACTGCCCCTCAAAGGGTCAAAGGGCTCAAACGCTCATGTGGGCAATCCTCTCAAGCCAGGTCCCTTAACGTCTCCACCCCCAATCTGGAACCCCGAACCCTAAACCCCTAAACCCTTAAACCCCTACACCCCTAAACCCTGAAACCCTAAACCCGAATTCTGTGCCCTTTTTGTGGCGACCAGCTTCGCTGCACGGAGAGCCTGGAAACTCATAGGAACCCGGAAAAAGCCTGAAAATCACGCCTAGGTTTTTCAGGGTTTAGCTTGCGGGTTTTGGGTGTGGTCTAGGGCTTGACCCATAGAGCTTAGTTGGCTCTAGTCTTTACTGTCAAGATCTCAGGCAAACTCATGTAGGATCTAAGGACCCTTTCCTAAGCCATAAACCCTAAACACAAACCGTGGACATATGGTGAATTCACCAAGACCGCAACTGCGACATCGGGGCATGAACCCCCACCCTAGCAACGACGGCGAAAGAGGCAGGAGAGGAACAGGTTTGGGTGAATATTAGTCTCTGTCTATACGACCACCCTGGGGAAGAGTATTAGAAACTCTTCACCATGATTCAGGTATCTGCTGCGGTTGCTACGAGTAGCACTTCGACTACGACCACTACTTCTACTACTACTACTACTACTACTACTACTACTACTACTACTGCTACTACTGCTACCACCACTAGCATGTGACGGTAGCTCGTAACCACACATGCTCATAAATCGTGACAAGAGTGTTTAGAAGACTTCAGAGGCTTGGGTTCCTGGAAGAGCCGTGCCGTTGCTGACCCCTGGCTCTCCACCAGAGATTCTCACGTTATGGGTTTAGAAGCTTAGGGTTTAGAAGTTTAGGGTTTAGGGCTCCGTGTGTGCTTGTGTGTGCGTCTGTTGAGACTTTGCTTCAGGGCTTGGGGGTTGAGAGCTCGGGGTTGATGCTGGAAGGCATCCCAGAGAGCCAAAAGCTTTCGAAATTCCACGAATTCGAATCTGAGCCAGCAAGCTGGGACCATACGGGGATCCTTATTGATCTGACTGAAAGTATATACTGCATCGCTTGCATGGTTTCATGGTCTTCGGATGGCTGACATGCTCATGCAAAGCATGCCGACACAGTGCTGCAACAGGGCAGCATGATTGCACGGGAAAAGCTCTTGCTGCGTAGCGTCGGACGTTGGGGTGTGTTGTACCAGTGCTGGCATGGAAGGCTGCAGACACAAGTTGTAGCAAGGACTCAGGTGCACTGCATTGCGGCGCCATAGGCCCTAAATCCTTAACACTTAATTAGAGTGCGTACTCGAAGCACCTGAGCTTAGGGTCGTGTCTCATAGTCTTGCAGCAATGGAAGCTTTTCCACACGACCTAAGATTAACGTTATCAGCCTGAAGAAGGCGTGAACCCTATTCCTACCATAAAGCCTTGCATCCCGGAGAGCCCAATGCTCCTGAACTGAAGAATGGTCCCTAAATTGTGTAAGGCTGCCTTTCGGATGGATTTCTGCACGTGCGGACGATGCCTTTGCCAGGGATTAAGATTGGGCTCTCCGGGGTCCTACCAAGTCCTACTTGGAGGATCAGGGGACGTAGCAGGTCGGTTATATGTAGGGCTGTAAGTAGCGAAACTCCGCATGTATCAACCCCTGACAGAACCTACTTGCTAAGTCCGACCCCTGATCCTTCACATAACGCGTAAGGTGCTAAATCATGATCTGCGCTGGCTCGCTGGCAGGATCATCCTCTGCTTCGCCGTCGGATTCGTCAGGCTTTCCGATGACACGGCTGGAGCTGGGCTCTTCTGAACCTTCCGGGTTTACGGCTTACGATTTGGGGATTTAGGGACCAGTTTGGGGATTTGAGGATTGCGGTTTGGGGATTTAGGGCGCAGGGTCTGGGTCGAGGGTTTGGGTTTCGGGGATTTAGGGACTAAGGTTTGGGGTGTTGGGGTCGGGAGTTGTATATTAGCTCTCTACGATGCCTTACTAGCGAGGCATCAGAACTCAGGATGACATGACGTGATACGGAATCAAGGAATACTCCCTCTGGGAACCCTGTAGAGTTCTTTGACGAGAGTAACTACACTTTGCACACTCCTTCCCAATCATGACACGATAGCATGACTCCTACAGTGACCCCCAGAAAGTTGGAACATGGGTTTCGGAGGATTGGTGCTAGGATCCCCTATACTTTGCCCTAAGGGCATGAGGATATTGATGTTCTACGTAACTTTCTGGACTCCACTTTACTGGGTTTCGACGGCTCTTTTGAGCTGAGCTGTTTAGGATTCCAGGCCTTCCGGTGTTTTCGGCTTGGGCTTCGAAGTTTAGGGTTCAAGTTACGTTGTGAAGTTACGATTGGCATGCTAGGTGAAGAACGGTTGAGAACTTCGGAAAATTCCAGATTGCCCAGAGCATGTAAGTTAAAGATTGGGATGGGTTGGACGATTGCAGTCAGAAGCTTCGGATAATTTTGGGCCCGCTACTTTTGGGTCATACTTAAAGTGTCATGGGACTTAGTAACTAGGCTTATAATTCGCCTCGGCCCCGGCCGAAGCGGTCAGAGGTTCCTATTCGGATTCCCTCTATTCCCCGCCTCTGGTCCCTTCTCAGTGACCCCACCAAAAAGTGGCCCACGCCTTAAAAATGGAAACGTGTCTCGTAGGCCCAAGGTCCGCCAGTGAATTCTCGCCTTTTCCAACGGATTTTGGCTCTCTGTAGGCAGTTCCACCCAATTTTTCGTTTTCTTCCTGCTTCCTTTTCTGCGGTTCCCCGCGCCCCCCCCCCCCCCCCGGCCACCTCCCCGCCCTTCCCACCGCTTTCCCGATGCTCACTCCCTGCCGTGGCCCTGTTCCCTTCCTTCCCGCTTTCCCGGTTCTTTATGCTCACTCCCTGCAGTCGGGTGTTTGGGCCAAAGGGCGCCAAGGCTTGCAACACTGTGAGAGTTTCCGACGACAGGGGACTGTAATGTAGCATCTTTACTTGTTGGGGGCCCCTAAACCCCAGCCAGCCTCAACGGCCCTTACTTAAGGCATCCCGCCGCTTGCGAGAGTCTTGGTATCCAGTGTTTCGGAATGACGACACCAAAATTCGTACTGATACTACCACTACTAATACTACTCACAATCATCCTGCTTCGTGTTGCTATGAACATTACTTTTACTATAAGTGCGATTCCAACTGTTACTTTTTTCCTACAAGAGCTTGCTGCAGATAGTAGCCACTCGCCGCATGCGCGTACAGCCGGGCCGAGGCGGACGACGCGCAGCGTTTCAATTAAGGTAACTATAACACTTATATTTACTTATAACCCCATTTAAGGTACTTACAACCCTAATTACTAAGTCCCATGATCCTCCAAGTAGGGCTTGGGTTTCGATGTCCCCGCCTGGGGAAGTCTCTAGCGGTGTCCCAGCAGACTCCTGCGGCACAGGCGGCGGCTCAAGTTCCTGGACGCTCGCTGCGGCACGCCGCCGCCAGTGCCGAAGACTAAGAACCTGGGCTCTTGTTAAGGGATTCAATATTTAAGTTACCATAATCAGGAAACCATATTATTCACGATGGATCCCTAGTATGGTAATTAATGTCCCTGAACACGACCCAAGGAACCAGAATGTTGAGGACGATGCCAGCGGCGATTGGAAGGGCCAGAGGGAATGCGACTCCGTCGCTCTGTGCTGCCTCGCCCTGCCTTTGCTCTGCGTCGTGTGCGTAGCCCTGCGCGCTGAAACCTTCAATCCTTTCGCTAGAGACGTACCAGTGCTGGCCACCAGCTGTTGTGCCGGCAAGGTGGTAGACCTGATTGGCAGCTTTCCTGGCACCCTCCACGTCGCAGAGTCCGGAAACACGAATGCTCCCGTTGCCGAACTCCTCCACCCTGGCGAAGAAGCCTGCAAGCCAATGCTGAATAGAACCCTAAACCCCAAATCCTCTGACCCGTGTATAACATCCTGGAAGCTCACACCCCAAACCCAAAACCCCTACACCCCTAAAGGCCCTAAACCTCAGACCTTTAAACCCAAAAGCCGATGCTCCAAGGATACCGAGAAGCTTCGTCCAGGTGTGGAGGAGCAGCAGGTGTCCCAGCTACTCCAGCCTCACGTCGTCGTGGGGGGGTTTAAAGGTTTATAGGGCCTATAGATTATCCGTTTAAGTCTAGAGGTTTGAGTCTGAGGGGTTTAGGGTAGAGGACGCTTTTGGGTTTCGGAGTTTACGCTTTTAGGGGCTCGGGTTAGTTAAACTATGGGTTTACCGGACCTTTTTCGGGGTTTAGGGTCGAGGGTTTAGCGTCTCAGCTGCTCCAGCCTCGTGTACCTGCGACCTCCAGGGTGGCGGTTCTCCAGTGCGCCCAGTTGGAGCATCCGCCCGCAACATCGTGCAGGTTCCGAGTCCTGGAATGCAGAGCCCCTCTAACCCAAACCCCAAATGCCTAAAACTCCCAAAAAACACAAAAACGCCGTGCACCCCCTCCCCCCCACCCCACCCCCCGGAAGCGCAGAAAAACTAAACAATCTATGAAAGCTTGAAGCGCCTCGAGGGATCGGGTTCTCTGGAGGACAAAAACCATCCGGGCCCCTGCAGATCACCTCCACATTCGGGGTCCCAGAAGATGTACAAGCTCGAAGACAAGTTGCACCATTTCATGGCGGCAAGTCTGAAAATCTACGGATGGCGTAGGGTTTTATGTTTATGGTTGAGGGGCTAGGGTTTCAGGATTCGTCGGGGATTTAGGCCTTTAGGGTTTAGGGCAGTTGGAAAGCCTCGTTTGCCTTCAAGGCCATGAAAGCAACCCGCAGCTGCCAGCTAGCACGATGAGAAGGGCGGGAGTAGGGCCTACACCCTAAACTACCCTAAAGCCCTTATGGCATAGCCGTATAACGACATAGTGCCTGTAAGGGGGTACGGGTACTTTCGTACGTTGACTATTCCAACCCATACATAAGGTGTCAAACCCACCCAAACTACCATAGAGAACGAGAACATCCTTGCTGCTCGGCGTTCCGGTTTGGAGGTTTCCTGTGTCCCTACATGACCCCCCCTGATTGAAACCCTAAACCCTAAACCCTAAACCCTAAACCCTAAACTGGAGCCGGCAAGCAGTCGCCCCAGCGCTGAGGATGCTTTAGGGCTGCAACGGCGGCTGCGGGTTCAGACTTAAAACTTAGGCCGCAAGACAGCGGCCTTCATAACTTGAATAAGGTTCTGGACACATAAAACTCAAATGAAGACTCTGAAGGAATATATCCAGTAGGGATTCTGGAGACATCTGTCAGAAACATCATCCTTTCAACCTCTCCGGGGTAATCCTTACACTTGCGGCCAGATCTCTGAACCTCCGGGCCCAAGTAAGTGGCACCTTAATTGGGGTTATAAGTAATTATGAGTATAGTTACCATATAATTCTAACCCTATAGTTACTAGGTCCCATGACCCTTTACGTGTCTGTGAGCACCTTGCAAGCTTGCTGCTACTAGTTACGGTCTGCGTTCAATTCGAGGGCCTACAGCCGCCGTGACGTCTAAGAGGAAGAAAGACTGGGTGCTTCACACAGGAGAAATTTACGGTGGCAGCATCTAGTCCACACGAAAAGGTCACAATGTACGTAGTTTAAGCCTCTACGAGTAGGGACTCAGGGCTTAAGGCTGACGGTCAAAGTCGAATCCTGCAGAGTAGCGTTTAGAGACACCGAGTAGCCCAGGACCCGAGTGCCAGGTGAGCTCCCGGCGTGTAACACGCCCCGCAGAATTATGGTTCACTTGGCGAGGCCTCAGCATGGGAATGTAGCTGATGATGGCTAGAGGTTGGGTTTCGGGACCAGGACTTGGGGTCTTACTTCAAGGATCGTGGCTGAGGAGTTCCAGGCGCGAAGAGATAAAGCCAATTGTCCCGAAACCCTTCTGAAAATCCGGATAGACGTCTTGGAAGCACTTCTCGAACCTGGCCTACAGGGAAGCATTGAAGAACATGTTCAGGATCGCAGCGTAGGTTTCGGGTACTCGAATCACCGTTGGCCTTCAACTTAAGACTAACTGTGGGAGCCCAGTTATCTACAAAGAGCCCACTGCCCCCTACAGTAGTAGCAACCCGGACAACCTTTAGGTACCCATCACCCACAAGCCTACGTTTTTGGGTCACTGGGCTCTTGGGGTTAGAACCACCACGACGAGAAGAAATGTAGCAGCAGCAAAAGCCACATATAGTAGATGGCAAGCAGCAGCAAAAAGTGCCAAGATGACAGGATAAGACATCCCAAACCACAAAAACTAAACAAATCTCAAACCCTAAACCCCTGAACCCTACACCCCTAAACCCTGAACCCCTCAAAAACCACAAAACCTAAACAAATCCCAAACCCCTAAAACCCCATTCCTAAGCAAACCCTGACCATCCAAGGGCTTGAACCTGAGTAGCGGGTTTAGGGTTTAGGGTTTAGGGCCCTCTGAGTAGCCTCAACCAGACCGATATGGGAGTTTCCGAAAATGGGGGACCCTAATATAGTATCCTAAATAGTAGGATCCTTATTATAAGGACCCCAAAATAAGGTACCCCTAGGTTTCGGAAACTCCCATGTGCCATAGGCCCACAACCTGAACCCGGAAGCCAAATGGCTCTTGGGTACTGCTCCGCATGCAGGAACAGTCTATAATAGGGCTACTATTAAGGTCCAAATGTATCTATATACGAATGTTATCTGGCTCTACGTCAAGCCCCAAAAGTAAGTAAAAGAATGGTCCGAAACCTCTAAAAGGCTATTATTCTACATACTTTTGGGGTCCAGATAGGATCTAGGGTTGAAGGTTTGGGTTTTGGGGCCTATTCTGTTAAGTTTTGGGTTGAGGTTTAGGGTGTAGCGGTTTTGACCCTGATATCTCAAGCGCGAAACGGCCCCGAATACAAAATGACCCTGAACCCCAACACGCGAAGGGACACTACAACATGAGCCTGAGCCAAAAACCCGAAGAGACACTACGAAATGAGCCTGAAACCCGAAACCTACCCGCGGCCCAGGCCATTCTGCTTTGGGCGCCTACTTCAGCAACCCTCTTGAGGCACAACGGCGAGAGGTGACCGGCCGAGGTTTGTGGTTAGAGCTTCGGGTTCAGGGTTTAGGGTTCGGGGTTTAGGGTTCAGGGTGTAGGGTTTAGGGCTGGGGCATAAGGATACGGATAAGGATCAAAGGCAAAAACCCCTGGAGCACCCAGGCAACTACAAGTATCACCATTCACATAACCGGGGCTGGGAGATTACTAGGAGGTTCGGGAGACTTTCGAAGGTAGTCATTTTCAAGCTGTATATGTGTCATAACCCAAGTTAGGATCCCTGTTATTACTAGCTCCTTCCCAAGGATTCAGCTTAGTTGGCGGACACGAAGCTACCAGAGGGGTTTCTTTTTCGGAGTTTCCGAAAACAGGGGACCCCAATATCGTAGCCTAAATAATAGGATCCTTATTATCAAAGACCCCAAAAAGGCACCCCCATTTTCGGAAACTCCCATTCGGGAGAGTATGTAGTAATTCGGTACTTGGACCCTTACTTGGAGGGTCGGGGGACTTAGTAACTGGTTGTTTTACGGAGTTATAAGTACCATAACCCCAATGAGGGTCCCTTTTAGGGTACTTATAAGTCTACTTACTACCTACTTACTAAGTCCCCCGACCCTCCAAGTAGGGATAATCAGGCTGAAGCGGAGAGCCGATAGCCAGAAGGATGAGGCGGCTCAACGGTTTAGGGCTTTAAAACCCTAGGGTTTGTAGCTTTTAGGGTTTTTGGGTTTAGGGCTTTTAGTGTTGAGGGTTTAGGGCTTTTAGGGTTTAGGGCTTTTAGGGTTTAGGGTTTTAGGGTTTAGGGTTTTGGGGTTGTGGGGCTTTAGGGTTTAGGGTTTAGGGTGCGGTTCACAGTAAAAGCGGTTGCTCTTCAAGACTTAGCAGCTTCGCAACTTCGGAAAACGACCGACAGGGCCGAGACGAATTTAGGTTGGCCTTTCTCTCTGCTTTCCGCGAGGTACACGTGGTCAGACTACCATCGTTGACCCGAGAGGATCGGAAAAAAATGGGATGTCTTTAGGGGTTTAGGGCGGTTCAGGGCTTAGGGTGGCTTATAAAACCACGGAGGAGGAAAACGCAAACTGCATACCCATCACTAGCGCTCCCTGTCGTGAGACCGAGTTGTCGGTGCGATGGAGCTACTTTCAGCTATGGGCTCGAAGGTCGAATTGAGGGGTTTGATTTAGGGGCGTTGACTATGAGGAAAGGATATTTGGGGCATGTAAATATTCCGAAATAAGAATATAAATGAGGAAGGCCAAGGGGTAGCAAGACCTGAAGGCTGATGGGGTTGTGGATCAAGGCTTCTCGTTCGATCCTCTCGGTTCCGCAGATGCTGCAGCCAGAATATGATTCTGCCTTAAGCGTTAAACACTAAGCCATAAGCCTTGCAAACCGATCACAAGCTCTAAACCCTAACCATTGAACCCTCAAAGCTGAAAACCTAAAGCCCCTGCACCTTGACTCCCAAACCTTAAATCTGTTGAAACTACAAGATGTCACTAAGACTTCATGTTTCGGATCCAGAAGCTTCACGAACGGGAGCAAAGGTTTAGGGTTCAGGGTTTGGAGGCTCCGAGGTGTGCTTGGCTACTTAGGCTTTTTGAAATCTGACTGCGATGCTTGTTGAAGGATAAAGGTTCCGGGCTCAAGCGTCTCAGGCTTTAGGGTTTAGGGTTCAGGGCTTAGGTCTATCGGGTTAAGGGTTCAGGAGCCTCCGAATACATGCCTTCTCTGCCGTTCTGCCACGAAGCCAGGCTCGGTCTTGCTCAACGCTTCGCAGAGGTCCTCCGTCCTGTCATTCGTTTTGCAGAGAAAACATCTCCTCTCTTTGTGATGCCCATGAGAATATAGGGCCGCAAAAATTAGAATAGGGCTTCGGGGACCACTATACTTATACCTTAATTAATAAGCAGACCCCAAAATAGTATAGGTAATTATTCAGGCCCCTTCAGTACCTGCAAGCCAGCAAGCTAATTGGCCCCATTCAGCGATTTTCCTCCTAGGCAACAGTCGCTCACCGGCCGGTGATATTCTTCCCAGGCTTTTTGAACTTTTTAGTTTTTCACCATGGGACAAACACCGGCTGGGCAGGTGCATCAGCGCGCGGTTGCTGGCCCAGGCGGCGGCAAAGTTCTGCGCGGTGCTCAGGCCAGAGCTGTGTGACATTCTCCTGGCAACTGGCAGCTGTAGGGTTTGTATATGATGCTGACGGGTTGAATTTTCAAGATGGAAAAACTTAGGATTGAAGGTTTGTGTTTCTGTTTTAAACGGTAGAAAAATTGAGATTTAAGGTTTGTGCTTCTGTTTTTTAAAAGCTGCATACGCACAGTCGCCCTCCAGGTTTGGAGTTTGAGGTCCGGGCCTTGATCTGGCTTAAAAGGGATCTATAAGGGGTTCCTTTAAGGGGTTGCTTTGAGGGATCCTTTGAGGGTTCCTTTAAGGCTTCTTTTCAGGAATCCTGCAAGGGTTCAGTTCCTTTAACTGTTTCAACGGGAATCTTGGAAAGTCTTAGGAAATACCTGTAGGGTTCCTTTAAAGGGATCTATAAGGGTACCTTTAAGGGGCTCCTGTAAGGGATCTTTAGGGTTCAGGGTTTTGAAAGGTTCATGCGACTTAGTAGTTAGGGTGAACATGAAGGTAACTATGCTTATAATTACTTGTAACTCCAACTAAGGTACCTACATGGGAAAGTCTTGGGAGTACTGTTGATGATATAAATCCTGCATTGGTGTTTTCCTTATTCTGGGGTAATGCAGGATTCATATCGTCAACCGTAGCCTTGCAGGCTGATCAAAACCCAAAAGGTCCTACGTGTTTGATAATGAAGGATTCCATCAGGGTTCTCCTCAGGGCTATGATCTCTCCGATCGAGGTTTGTCCACAGTCCCGCTACAGTAGTTTAGTACTGGTAGCAGGTGACGTCACGGAACATACCGCCGAGCCACCGTGATTGTGATGTCTGCGACAGGCTGCGTAAAGAAGAATCGTACCCCAACATTGGCATGTTCCGGAACCCGAAGCCCTAAACCACCATTCCGACCATTCCGCGAGAGCATTGCTGCCTGCTTCAGCTCCGGGCAGCGGGTCAGCGCCGTGAAAAGCTCGGCCATGCCGTCGGTGCCGTTGGCATCTCGACTGAAGCACCTGGGCTGGAACTACGACAGCACCGGCCAACATTTTTGAGGATGGTGAGCCAGGTGTCGACGTCAACAGTCCCCAAATTAGCTCTTCTAATTCGGGCTCTATAGGATACAACAATGGAAATTACAAATCATTGCAAATCGGTTCCTACGGCTGATGAAATAAATCCTGCGTTACCATAAGGACCCTAAACTATAGGAAGTATGGTAATTTCCTTATCGTGATAAAGTGTAGGATTTTTAAAAAATCACCAGCAGTGAAGCATCGGAGAAGTCTTCTGGAACCTTTCTGGAGGCTTTGAGCTGCCCTCTTCTGACTTTCACGACTGCCAAGGCAAGAAGATCCCCGAACTCCGCAGCTGCTTTCTGAGGCGCTGATGTAATATGGGGGCCTTTATAATCAGAGTAGCCATTATGCTCTTAGTTATGTTAAGAACCCCCATATCCCTATTCGCGGTATCCATTTTAGGGTTTAGGGTTTAGGGTCCCCCCCCCGATAGTATGATAGTATGCCTCTGAGGCGCTGTTGCAATCTCACGTCTGTGAGCTTCTTCCACTTCGCGCCCTCGAGCTGGCGCCAGGCTGCTG